TCTCCCTCCAGGTTCCGCACAGTCCCTCTTTACCTGCAGGCATCATCAAACAGTGAGTTAACTCAGGTATCCCTACTATTCATGTATATCACACTGTAAATTAAGTTTTTTAAAAGGTTGAGCGCTTCTTTTTCTGCTTTTTGTTTACTTTATGCACAGGGTCCCTCTCCCTGTTTGAGAAGCCAGCACACCCAGTGCCACTAATTATATTTAAACACTTATCCCATTTCACAGTTGTGCGCTTACCATACATTTTTGTTGTTGGCACTTTCTACTAGTAGGCAGGCTGCAATAGAGCCGTTACAGCTCTGTTTAGCATCTCCCTACCGCAATAGATAATTTTATAGTGATCTATTACTTGCTGATTGCAGCCAGCAGTTCATCACTATTAGATGTGATCTGTTGCTGCAGAGCTGCCTGGGGGGTGCTGTATCGGGTCTTTACTGGCCGATCTATCGATTATTGGCCTGGCGAACCAACTATACAAATCAGCGCTGTGCTGCATACAGAGTGGAAAATAATTATTTGATCCCCTGCAGATTTTGTAAATTTTCCCACTTACAAAGAAATTAAAGGTCTATACATTTTATCATAGGTGTATTGTAAATGATAGAGACACAATATCAACCAAAAATACAGAAAAAAACCCCCATGATAAATGTTATAAATTGAGTTGCAGTTCAGTGAGTAAAATGTATGGCCAAGTCAGTACTAAAAGTGCAGTCATGGCTGTAACAGAACTATGCAGTTGTTTACCTTAAACAGATAAGACCTTATTTAATTCCTTGTTACTGATAATTTTGAAAATAAAAACTATAAATGTCAAAAGAGAGGATGAATATATACTTACATGCTATCCTAACATAGGCCTTTCTGCTTTTAGTCGTTCCTGCAGAGCTCCAGGCAACACACTGACACCAGTAGTCCTCAAGCCCAAATAGTTCCTCTACCTGCTGTCGTGATATTTCAATGCTTACTTCCCGGACTATCAAACCTGCAAGAGAAAAGAGAGGATAACTGATAATTCTTTTTATTGTGTACTGGTATCCAAGCTGAGTGCATGGTATAGCTAAGAATAAAACAAAATATTGCTGTTTCAACAAATAAATAACCAAAGCATTCTTTGTGGGAAAGGTGTGCTATGTCCAAAGGAATGGGAGAAAGAGATAAAATATATTTTTTTAAACAAGTCTGTATAGAAAAACAGGCATTATTAAATATAATCTGTTACCATACAGCACAATAAATACATATGGATTGATTTTCTATAGGCAGATTGGCTGTTCACCTTGCAAGGGTATTGCACTTTGCAAGGGAAGTTTCCCTTAGAGTAGTGAATGTGGTGGAATTTCACTTTGCAAAGTATACCCAATGATGTGCAAGGAAAATAAAAACAATATTATATTTGCTTGAACATGATTGGGTGATGGAAGTTAGCAGAGCTTCATCTCACTCACTAAAATAAGAAGAAACTTCACTTACAAAGTGCAAATTCTGTTGCAAAGTGAACAACCTATTTGACTTTAGTAAATCAACCTCTGTGTGAACTGAACACCAGACGACAGTGTTTGTTGCCATGCATGCATTTCAAGACCCTTATAATCCTGATCTAGAATAAGAAGATATTGTCTAAATACAAGAGGCAAGTGTATTCTGATCTGTGCAGTAATCCAGGGTAAAACGTTGCCCATTTTTTTTGATTGAAAAATATACTTTATTAATGTAATAAAATATACAAAAACAAGCTATACAATCGGGGTACATTCTACCTCGTACTGCGACGACTTTGCCCATGCATGAGCTTTTTGTAATACAGACCAGCCACTGCTGCTCTCTCTCCTTGTGCAGGGTGACTGATGTTGTATCTGCCCTCCTCTCTTGTAGCTTTCTGCAAGCAACCTGTAGTGGGCGGGGCCTACTGGGTCTCCCCCACAACTCTGCTCTCTGAACAGGCTATGTACAGAACATTGATTATGTCACTGCTACTTTTACAAGGTGATATCTGGATTTGCAGAGGCATTTGGTGCACACAAATAGAATGTATATCCTCTGTGGCTATGGAGGAATATACTTAAATGCTAATTTTTGTGTCCGGAGTTCAGCTTTAAAGTCCAACACCAATCTTTGTTTTCCCCACAGTGGGTAAGAATCTAAACTTCTGCCAGATTTTTATAGCCCTCTGTGTTCTTAAAGCGTATCAAATCTCATAAACTCATATATTCTGCAGCTTACCAGACCTTAGACGTAGTGTTTGCATTGATTTTTTTTTCAGGCTAAGAAGATTTTCAGCAAGTACAGAAAAATAGCTATTGTACTTCTAGAAATTGAATCTCCTTGTCACTTCCTGTGCGCTGATAAATACTCATCTTTTGTTTGTGAACTATTAATCCCATCAGCTTGCATAAAATAGAGATGAACAAAGGCATATATATTTGAAGTCCAGCCTGTGTGACTTTATAGATATAGTGGATAAATGAGTGCAGCCACACAACTACAGGAAGTGCATTAATTGCAGGATTACCAGGTATAAAGTAGATAAGGCCTGAAAAATAAACGAAGGCAGCCTACTACTACTTCCTGTATTTGTAAAACCTTGACAGAAAATTAGGGTATTTCCCCCCAATGGGTACACAGACAACAGTAAAAACTGAACAAAAGTTCTAACTAGGGATGCACCGATACCAGTTCAGATACTAGTGCTGATACTTGGCATTTTCATGAGAACTGCCAGGCTTGCAGCAGTTGCTGCTGGGACCTAGCTCTGGCGCTCCACCACTGTCCTGAAATCATTTGTGGATATTGTTTAAGAAAACTGTCACATGACAATAAACTAAAATGTATCAGTACTTGTATCTGTGTGTACTTGGACAAGTATCAGTACTTGTACTTGCAAAAATGGTATTGGTGCATCCGTTTATATATGTACAGTATATAAAAACAATCATAAATTAGAACATAGATGTACAAATCCCAGGAGCTCCGTGTGCTCCTTACAAATGACAGCTGCCTCCTAACTTTTGAATTTTTCTCTAGTCTAGTCTTGGAGCTCGAAAAGTATCGGTACTTGTACCGAGTACAGTACTTGGTATCAGTGCATCCCTAGTTCTAACCCTTCCCATTCAGTTCAAAACTAAAAAAAAAGATTTGGCTGTAATTGAGCTTTAAAAATGTCACCAAGATACCTTATGGTTATGTAGTTACAATAAACCTTTTAAATTAATGAACTTAACTACAATTTTTAAGTAACAAAAAAAAAAAGACTGCCAACACTGCAACTGTTTCAAAGAAAGATTGGAAGAAAAAAAAACACGGCCCAGAGTTCAGAAGATATTATCACGCCATGCTGGTTTACAAACTCCCATAATGCACCACTGACAATACAAGCAACTCTACACAAAATTCTCCATTGAAGACAAAGAAAGCTGTGTTTCTACTATTGGAGTGGTGGGTGTTCAAGGGATGGAAAATATTTTTTCTGGAGTTCTTTAAAATGTGGAAAAATCCAGCTTCTGAAGCACACTGTTTTTATGTTATACCACTGGCAGCACTAATCAGTAAATGGGCAGTAGATACCGTACTTTTTTTTAAATCAATGAGCCTTTTATGGATTACCAAACAGACATAAATCATGGTGTGGTAACACAACCTTGTTTCACATCACACTTTGATCCTGTTAATCAAATACTTATATATAAAAAAAAAAAAACAGATATTATGCACAAGGCATGAAAGCCCTCTTTTTTTTGCAATGCAGCGTCATGTAACCTAAAGCCAAAGCTACTCAAATATGAAGCAAGACACATGCTATGAATGTTCCTGTTTGTGATGTCTCCTAACAGCTCTGAAAAGCCAAGCCAAGTCTTTGATTTCTCTTAAGCTTCATAGAGAGCTTCCATTCACAGAGTGGACGATTAATTGCACTTTGTGCACAATTGTACGCTGATATTCACATCGCACACTGTTTATATCTAAAGACCACTTCCAAATATAACAATGATTCAGTAGAGCATGTAATATCTATAAGACTTCTGGTGGGAACTCATTTTAATGAGATGTGTTCTACTATCCCCTCCTTGGTGTAATTACCCATTACAGTTTATCTGCAAATAATGAGCCATGTCCATTGAAAAATAAATAAATAATAATATCATGAGTAATTATCGCAAATTATTAAAATATCCTGTAGCTCAAGACAAAAAACGGAAATTAAAAATGAAAAAGCCTTACGCAATGTGGGCCTTCACTTCCCCTGAGAAAAACTAAAAACTATTTGTTGTCTGTTGTGAAGGGGAAAAAATAAATAAAAATAAAAACCTTGATATCGCAAATACAAATTCAAAGTGCATGTGTGTTTAACCTGCCAACCTCTCTAACAGCAAGCATGAGAAACAAGCCTCTCCAGCATGTTATGGGAATGTTTTAATAATGAGGGTAACAAGCAAGTTCAAAGCAGTTTGGTGGTTTGGGAGTTGAGGTACTTAAATATCAGAGCTACATTAGCAGCAGTCGAATGCACAGTCACCTTGCATCAGACATTTACATAAAACTAAAAAACTTGAAAAGTGTCGCCAGCAGAAAAAGAAAGTAGCACTTGTGCTCTATATGTTCATGTTTTTATTATTACCCT